GAAGCGCGACTGCTGCTGGAGCGACAGTTTGTTCTCCTCGCACAGCGCTGGTGGGACGAGGTGAGCACACGGCATGGCATGCTTTGGATGGCTTCGGTTGCTCGTGTGTGTGTGTGTGTGTGTGTGTGTGTGTGTGTGTGTGTGTGTGTGTGTGTGTGTGTGTGTGTGTGTGTGTGTGTGTGTGTGTGTGTGTGTCTGCGTCTCTGTCTGTTTCGTTTGTCTGTCTGTCTGTGTTGCAATATGCTCGCCGCACTAGCAACCTTCTCCTCATCTCCCTCACCACCACCACCACCATCATCATCATCAGTATGCTGCCATTCGCCCCTCGCACCGCCGTCGCCTTGTCAAACTGTTTGCCAGCGACGAAAACGCCACGCGCAAACCCGTCTGCGTGTGCCTGCAGCGCGTCAAGCCAGGTGGGCCGGGTGCTGCACATGTGCGTGCGTGTGTGTGTGTGTGTGTGTGTGTGTGTGTGTGTGTGTGTGTGTGTGTGTGTGTGTGTGTGTGTGTGTGTGTGTGTGTGTGTGTGCGTGTTGAACCGTGCACTGGTGGTTTCGCAGCGTGATAAGACCCAAGATACACACACACCTCACAATCATTTGTTGTTCTGATCATCCTCCTCACCATCGCCATCATCACCATGATCATCACCACCGTGTCAGGGCGAGCGCTAGAAACACCGCGGGAGGCGGCACGATTCGTGTCTCTCCTGCCGTACCAGCGCAGGGAGGTCCGTATTGCTTGCTTGCTTGCTTGTCTGTGTCTGTGTGCGTGTTTGTGTGTCTGTGTGTCTGTGTGTCTGTGTGTCTGTGTGTATGTGTGTGTGAACGTTTCTGATTGTCTGTCTGTGCGTGTTGATGTTTCATGCGCAAGTGCATGATCGTTTGTGGTCATGCCATGGCAACACGGCACTCACGGCATGCACACTGTATTGCCATGCGCGCGCGGCTCAGATGTCCGGAGGACTGGATACCGGCGCCGCTGTCCGCTGGGAGCAGTGGTCCAGCACACACGCGTTCCTCTGTGCGGTGAGCGGCTTTATGGTTGACGAGAGGGTTGGAGAGTTACATGCATGCGTGCGGCATGACTTGTGGTTGGCACCCCCTCCCTTCCTCCCTCCCACACGCGCTCACACTCACTCACACACCCATACACACTTACCCGCTCGCTCTCAATCTTGTGCGTTCCACTACAACACCACGACACGACACCCCGGTGCAGGGCCAGGGTGATGTGGAGGACCACGCGTTGCTGCTCGTCGGGTTGCTGCTCGAGTTTGGACTCAACGCATTCATCTGTCTCGGCACCAAGCGTAAGGCGCACATGCACATCCACTGTCAAACACACACACACACACACACACACACACACACACACACACACACACACACACACACACACACACACACACACACACCATCAGTTTCGGCTCACCATTTCCACTGCCGCGTGCGTGTGTGTGTGTGTGTGTGTGTGTGAACATGTTGCAGAGTGCGAGGAAGAGGGCGACGATGACGAGCAGTTTACGGGCGAGTCTGCGTACGCGTGGGCCATGGTCCCCGCTGATGATGGCATCATCTGGTTCTGGGACCCCATCACTGGCAAACAGCACCAGCACTGGCGGTAGGGCGGTGTGTGTCTGTGTCGGTGTCTGTGTGTGGGTGGGTGGGTGTGTGTGTGTGTGTCTGTGTCTGTGTCTGTGTATGTGTGTGTGCTTCGAGTGTATCTCTCCCTGATCGTCTCACCTTAGCATCACCGCTGATGCCAACACCAAACCACTCTGAATTCGCAGCGTGCACGACCACCAGCGGTTTGGCGAGCAGCCCAATCACCCGTTTGTCACTGTGGACTGCGTCTTCAATGAAACGCTGTTTGCAGCCAACGCGCAGCCGTCGAACCACGTGCAGGACTGCTCTTTCGACCTCTCAAACGAGGTGCGGTCCTGGGTGTGTGTGTGTGCTTGTGACTGTGTGTGCGCGCACGCGTGTGTGTACCTCTTCAGACGGTCGTTTGAAAGCAACAATCACACACACACATTCTCTCTCTCCATCCCTCTTTCCTCTCATTATGTGTTCGTTTGAGCTGCAGAGCGATTGGAAGCGGTTGAGCTCTGATGTCGTCTTGGATCTGCGCCAACATCACGCCGCATCACAACCCATCACGCTCCAGTCCATTCCACTCGGTGCGTGCATGAAATTAAACCCCGCAATGTTTCTGCGTGTGTGTGTACATGTACTCTAGCGCCCGAGTCACTGTCTGTGTACGTGCTCGTCCTGTTGATCTCTGTGCACCGATTGACGCTTGTCCACCCGTGCGTTGTTCTCTGATCGTGCATCACGCATGCGTACGCTAGATGTCCACGCCGCATCGGAAATGCTCGAACGCGAATTCCGCGCACTCATCAAAGAGGTGACACAACGTGAATGCCGACTGCAGACAGTAACACACACACACACACACACACACACACACACACTCTCTCTCTCTCTCTCTCTCTCTC